TGATAGCCGAGACTACAGGGGTCTACTATCATGCTCAGCTGATTTAAAAAATTTTTTTTTGTAGAGAAAGGATCTCTTACTATGTTGCCCAGTCTGGTCTGGAACTCCTGGGCTCAAGCAATCCACCTGCCTTATCCTCTGAAAGCCTCTGGCTGGGCGACTTTTATCATTTCGCAGGTTCAGCAAGTCACTGGATTTGGTTTCTTTGTGAAATGCCATTGGTGCATTTCCCGTCTTTTTACTTATTTTCTTAATGATGGCCTTTCATAGCTGTGCGTATAAAATGTAAACTTTGAACACTAAAAATCATGAACCTTAGTCTTCACACTGCTAGCACACCTAGTTTTGAATGCTTGCATTTTGCTAATTTTTTAAATGAAACTTTTTATTTGAGGTAATTGAAGATTTACATGCAGTTGTAAGAAGTAATGCAGAGAGGCTGAGGGGGTGGCTCACGCCTGTAATCCCAACACTTTGGGAGGCCAAGGCAGGTAGATCACCAGAGGTCAGGAGTTCAAAACCAGCCCGGCCAACATGGTGAAACCTCGTCTTTACTAAAAATACAAAAAAATTAGCCAAGCATGGTGGCAGGCAACCATTATCCTAGCTCCTCAGGAGGCTGAGGCATGAGAATCGCTTGAACCTGGGAGGTGGAGGTTGCAGTGAGCCGAGATTGTGCCACTGTACTCCAGCCTGGGCAACAGAGCAAGACTCTGTTTCAAAAAAAAAAAAAGTGCAGAGAGATCCCATATACCCTGTACTCAGTTTCCACCAATGGTAACATCTTGCAAAACTATAATACAATATTAAAACCAGGATATTGACAGTGATACAGTGATGATAGGGAACACTTCCATTAATAGGAGTATTCCTCACTTTGCCCTTCTGTAGCCATACTGCTTCCCTCCCGTGCCCATCTCACTACTCCTGCCTTAACTCCAGGTAACCATTAATCTGTTCTCCATCTCTATAATTTTGTCACTTCAAGAATGTTATACAAATAGAATTGTCCAGTATATAACCTTTCAAGATTGGTTTTTTTCCACTCAGCATGATTCTCTGGAGATCCCTCCAAGTTATTGTGTATATTAATAGTTCAGTTCTTTTCTGGTTGAGTAGTATTCCATGATACGGATATAGCAGAATTTAACCACCTATTGAAGGACATCTGTCTTGTTTCCATTTTGAGGCTGTTCCTAATAAAGCTGCTATGAACATTCGTGCATAAATTCTTATGTGAATATAAGTTTTCATTTCTTTGGAATAAATGCCTACAAGTACAGTTGCTGAGTTGTATGGTAGTTGCATATATAGTTTTTACAGAAACTTCCAAACTGTTCTGGAATGGCTGTGCCATTTTATAGTCCCATCTGCAATGTCTGAGTGATCCGGTTTTTCTGTATCCTAGCCAGCATTTGGTGTTATTACGGTTTTTTATTTAAGCCATTCTGATAGGGGTATAGTGGCCTTAATTTGCATTTCCCTGAGGGCTAGTAATGTTGAATATATTTTCATGTATGCCATCTGTATATCCTCTTCAGTGAAATGTGTTCTTAACATTTGCCCATTTTCTAATTGCCCATTTTAATGTTTGTTCTTTCACAGAAAAATGTTTTTAATTTTGATGAAGTTCAGTTTTCCCTTACATAGATCATGCTTTTGCTGTCAAGAACTTGTTGCCTAAACCTGGATCCCAGATTTTTCTCTTATGTTTTTTCTAAAAGTCTTACAGTTTTACATTTAAGTACATAATTCATTTTGGGTTACTTTTTGTATTATGCATGAATCTTAGGTTGAGGCTCATTTCATTGCCGAGTGTCCAGTTGCTCTGGCACCATTTGTTGTAAAGGCTATCATTCCTTTATTGAATTGCACTTTAATCGAAAATTTAGGCATTCTTATATGGAATTATTTCTGGGTTCTCTGTTATGTTCCAGTGACGTATATGTTTATGCCTTTACCAACACTGCACAGTCTTGATTAATGTATTGATATAATAAGTCTTGAAATCAAGTACACTGATTCCTTGTACTTTATTTTTTTATCTAGAGACAGGGTCTTGCTCTGTTGCCCCTGCTGGAGTGCCGTGGCATGATCTTGGCTCACTGCAGCTGCAGCCTTCCAAGCTCAAGCACTTTTCCTGCCTCAGCTTCATTGAGTAGCTGGGACTACAGGTGCACACCACCACGCCCGGCTAATTAATTTTTTTATAGTGAAAGAGTTTCACCATGTTGCCCAGATTGGTTGAACTCCTGAGCTCAGGCGATCCTTCTGCCTTGGCCTCCCAAAATGCTGGGTTTATGGTCATGACCCACTGACTTGGCCCCATCTACATTTTAGAATAATCTTGCCTATATTTAGAAAAAAATCTTCCTGGGATTTTAATAGGATTCGTTATAAACATGTATATCAATTTAGGGATAATTGAAGTCTTCATTTTTTTTAAATTTAGAGCTTCGATTTCTTTCATCAGTGATTTGTGGTTTTTGACATATAAGTACTATGCATGTTTTAGATTTTCCCTGTCATTTTTTTTGGGTAATTATAAATGGTATTGTATTTCTAATTTGTACCTATATATGTTCGTTGCTAGTATATTGATATTTGTATACTTGTATTCTGTGGCCTTGAACTCAATTAATTAATTAATTAATGACAGGGTGTCTCTCTTTTGCCAAGGCTGGAGTGCGGGTGCCAACACAGCTCACCGCAGCCATGACCTGGGCTCAAGCATTCCTTCTGCCTCCTGAGTAGCTAGGACTACAGGCATGTGCCACCATGCCAGCTAATTTGTTTTATTTTTGTAGACACGAGGTCTTGCTGTGTTGCCTGGGCTAATCTTAAACTCCTGGGCTCAAGCAGTCCTCCCACCTCTACCTCCCAAAGTGCTGGGATTATAGGCATGAACCACTGAGTCCAGCCTATGAATTTATTAATTCCGGTTTTTTTGTAGATCCCTTGGAATTTTCTACATAGACTATCATGTCATCTACAAATAGGAACAGTTTTATTTCTTCCTTTTGATCTATATGCCTTTTATTTCTTTTCCTATTTTTATTACACTGGCTAGATCTTCTAGTAGTTTGTTGAGCAGGAGAACACACTGCCTTGCCTTGTTCCTGATCTTAGGGGAAAATATTGAGTCATCCACCATTAAGTATGTCAGCTATGAGTTTTTTGTAGAACTTTTTCATCAACTCGAGAAAGTGCCCTCTATTCCTATTTTTCTAAAAATTTTTATTATGAGAGGATGTTAAGTTTTGTCAGATGCTTTTTCTGAATCATTCGATGTGATCATGTGATTTTTCTTGATTAGCCTGTTAATATGGTGGGTTACATTGATCAGTTTCCAAATAGTGAACCAGCCTTGAGTCCCTAGAATAAGCCCCACTTGGTCATGGTATATAATTCTTTTTATAAATTGCTGAATTCAGTTTGCTAGTATTTTGGTAAAGATTTTTGAGCCTATGTTTGTGAATGATATTACTCTGTAGTTTTCTTTTTTTGCGCTGTCTTTGGTTTTGGTGTCTGGGTAATACTAGCTTCATCAAGTGAATTGGAAAGTGTTCCCTCCTCTTCCTTCCTCTTCTGGGCTTTAGAAGAATTTGTATAGAATTGGTGTTGATTCCTTTTTTTTTTTTTTTGAGAACGGGGTCTCGCTATATTGCCCAGGCAGGTCTCGAATTCCTGGGCTCAAGCTATCATCCCACCTCTGCCTCCCTAAGAGCTGGGATTACAGGCATGAGCCACAGGGCCCGGTGGTGTTGATTCTTCTTAACACACTTAGTAGAATTCTCCAGTGAACGAGTGGGCCTTGATATTTACTTGGGGGGAGTTTTTTAGTTATGAATTTAATTGTAAATAGTTATAAAGTTCAAATTATGTATTTCATATTGGATGAGTTGTTGTACTTAGTGTTTCTGAGGAAGTGGTCCATTTCATCTAAGTTGTCAAATTTATATACGTAGAATCATTCGTAGCATTCCCTTATCCATTTGGTATCTGCACAGTCTGTAGTGGTATCCTAATTGATTCTTGATATTAGTAATTTGTGTTATCTCTTTTTTTGTCAATTTTATCCACTTTTTATCAATTTTATTGCTCTTTTCAAATAATGCACTTTTTATTTCTTGATTTTTCTCTTTCTTTGTTTTCAATTTTATTGATTTCTGCTCTTTATTTTCTTTCTTCTGCTTGTTTTGAGTTTATTACACTTTTCTTTTTCTAGGTTCTTGAGGTGGAGTTTAGGTTATTGATTTGATAGTTCTTCTCTTTTCTAATATAACTATTTAATGCTTAAATTTCCCTCCCAGTGCTTCATTAGCTGACATGTCCCACAGATTTTGATATGCTGTATTTTCTTTTAGTTCAATGTATATATATTTAAATTTCCCTTGAGATTTTGTCTTTAAACCATGGATTATTTAGAAATGTGTTGTTTAGTTTCCAGCTCTTTGTGGAGATTTTCATGTTACCAATCTTACTGATTTCTAGTTTGTATGATTTTGGTTCTTCTAAATTTTTTGAGATTTTGGCTCAGGATATGATCTGTATTGGTTTATGATATGCATGATGCCTTGGAAAGAATGTGTGTCCTGCTGTTACTGGATGGAGTGCTCTATAAATGCTAATTAAATCCTGTTGGCTGAGGGTATTGTTAAGTTCTTCTATAGCCTAACTGGTGTTCTGTTTAGTTGTTCTATCAATTCCTGACAGAGGAGTATTGAAGTCTTCAACTATAACTATGGGTTTGTCTCTCTTCTTTCAGTTTCATCGTTTTTCGCCTCACATATTTTACAGCTCTCTTGTTTGATGCATATACATTTAGGATTGCTATGTCTTCCTGGTATATTACCTTTTTGTTTTTATGTAATGTCCCTCTCTGTCTCTAGAAATTTTCCTTGCTCTAAAGTCTACTTTATCTGATTTTTTAAACTTATTTTTGATTCTCTGATTTGGGGGTTTTATAACTGAGGCTCTTTTTTCCTTCTTTTTTTAAGGAATATATCATTCGGGTGCAAAGAGGAATTTCTGTGGAAAACAGCTGGCAGGTAAGCATTTTTTTTTTTTTTTTGGTCAGTTAGAAAAATTCTTAAATGCCTGACTAAAACCCTGACTTGGGGCATCTAAAAATCTGGAAAAATCAGAACATGCATAAATGTAAATTATGTTTCTTTTAGCTATAAACCTTTAGCTTTGAGACAAGTATGATAAGAGACTTTGCTGTCTCCAGTTGTTTGGTTAAATTGTATATGAATGATATTACCATGGAGGGTATCTAGGAATTTGTTCCCAGCTCAACTCAGAGCAAACAGTATATATAAATTAGTTGTTTTGTTTCTAGAAATTCACACCTCCTGCCCTGCAGCTATGGTTTGAGTTTAGTCTACCAGGTAGAAAGGTGATATTGAAGTCCTGGCTATTATGTAGTTTGGGCCACTACATTTTATGGATCTCAGGTTCACTCACGGGCAGCTTCTGGTGCTAGCTCCCTCACTGTCACTGTCTTTACCGGACGGTCTTCTTGGGGCCCCAGGCTCTGCTTTCTTCAGTGGTGGCCTCAGAGAGAAAAGAATTCCTAGACAGATCGAGAGGTCCTTCCCATCCAAGTCGACTTACAGAGGGTGGCTGAATTCTGCATAGGGGTCCTTTCTTTCCTGTTTTAGTCATTATAATTACCACCTCCACCTCTCCCAACACTTCCTCTCTCCCAGAAGTCTTACCTTCTCCTTCACAGCCCAGCTCAAACCTTAACCTCCTACCTTTAGCAGCCTCTTACCACAGTGGTCCACACTTGGTCTTTTCTTTGCCTGAAATTTCAAACTGCTTTTTGTTTGAATAATTATTATATTTAACATCTATTGAGCATATATTAAGTGTTTAGCACTGGTTTAAGCACATTAATTCACTTAACCTTTTTAAAAAGTCCTGTGTGAGCCGGGCGTGGTGGCTCACGCCTATCATCCCAGCACTTTGGGAGGCCGAGGCAGGTGGATCCCGAGGCCAAGAGATCATCCTGGTCAACATGGTGAAACCTCATCTCTACTAAAAAAAATACAAAAATCAGCTGGGCATGGTGGCGCGTGCCTGCAATCCTAGCTACTCGGGAGGCTGAGGCAGGAGAATTGCCTGAACCCAGGAGGCAGAGGTTGTGGTGAGCCGAGATCGCACTATGGCACTCCAGCCTGGGTAACAAGAGCGAAACTCCGTCTCAAAAAAAAAAGTCCTGTGTGGTAATATTGTCCTCATTTTACATTTGTGAGGTAAGTAACTTCTCTGAGGTCACAGTTAGATCATTGGCAGAACCGAGTTGGAACTTACTCATTCTCTGTGGTTAACCACTCCACAATCTTTTGCTTCTTGGCTCTTATCAGGGATGACCTTATATTTAACTTTTTGATGTATATTTGGCAAACAGGGCCAACAACAGTGTCCTACCAGAAAGATCAACTCCTGGTGCAGTTTTCTAGATCCATTGCATTAGAAACCCAGGGGTACTTACCAAAAATGTAGACTCTTGGGCCCCATCCTAGACCTGATTAGATTTTCATTGGGTGGGGTTGTAGGGGCGGAGAGGTGTGATACCTTTCTTCACCCGCCATAAAGGTTGTGGCCAACACTCCTATAACAAAAGACAAATTAACAAGGGAAAAACATAACAAATTTATTTAATCGAAGTTTTATGTGATATGGGAGCTTTCAGAAATGAAGACCCAAAGACTCAGGGAAAACTATCCATTTTTGTGCTTGATTTGATGAAGAATGGATAACTATGTAGAATGTGATTTAACAGTTTACTTTTTTATTTTTATTTTTGAGATAGGGTTTTGCTCTGTCACCCAGACTGAAGTGCAGTGGTGGCATCATGGCTTACTGCAGCCTTGCCCTCCTGGACTCAAGTGATCCTCCCCCCTCATCTGAGTAGCTGGGACTACAGGCAGGTGCTACTATGCCCAACTAATTTTTTTGTATTTTTTATGGAGACGGAGTTTTGACATGTTGCCAAGGCTGGTCTTGAACTCCTGAGCTCAAACAATGCTCCCACCTTGGCCTCCCAAAGTGCTGGCATTGTAGGCCTGAGCCACCGTGCCTGGCCTTGTCTGTTCTTCTTTTTTTTAATTTTTTTTTTTTTTTTTTTTAGAAACAGGGTCTTGCTATGTTGCCCAGACTGGTCTTTAACTTCTAGGCTCAAGGGATCCTCCTGCTTTGGTCTCCCAAAGTGCTAGGATTATAGGTGTGACCCATTGTGCCTGGCCCTGTCTGTTGTCTTCTCTGTCTCTGTAGCCTTTGCTCCTCTTGGGTATGGGGCAGGACCCCTTTAGAATGAGAGTCCTGAAGGGAGGAGAGAGAGAGCAGCCTTTCTAGGTTTTATGGCTTACTTTGTGAGAGGTAGAGGGGCTAGGCTAGGGACAAGGAGGGCAGAAGACCAGAAAGAACTCATTTGGGCCAGGTGTGATTTATCATGCCTGTAATCCCCGTACTTTAGGAGGCCAAGGCAGGCAGATCACCCAAGGTGGGCAGATCACCCAAGGTCAGGAGTTTGAGACCAGCCTGACCAACATGGAGAAATCCTGTCTCTATTAAAAATACAAAATTAGCTGGGCATGGTGTCACATGCCTGTAATCCTAGCTACTTGGGAGGCTGAGGCAGGAAAATCCCTTGAACCCGGGAGGCAGAGGTTGTGGTGAGCCGAGGTCATGCCATTGCACTCCAGCCTGGGCAAAAGAGCAAAACCTCTGTCTCAGAAAACAAACAAACAAACAAAAAACAAACAAAAAACTCATTTGTGAGGCGTCCTTCTTTTTTTTCTTGGAGACAGAGTCCTCACTCTGTTGCCCAGGCTAGAATGCAGTGGAGCAGTCTCTGCTCACTGCAATCTCTGCCTCCCAGCTCAAGCAAATCTAGTGCCTCTGCTTCCCAAGTAGCTGAAACTACACGTGCATGCCACCACATCCAGCTAAGTTTTGTATTTTTAGTAGAGACAGATTTCGCCATGTTGGCCAAGCTGGTCTCAAACTCCTGGCCTCAGGTGATCCACCCGCCTTGGCCTCCCAAAGTGCTGGAATTACAGGCATTAGCCACTGCACCTGGCCCATTTCTGAGGCCTTCTAATCTCCTTTAGTTCAAAGTACTTAGCATGCCAAAGTACTGTACTTTGGGGTATCATTTTTGGAGCCCCAATAGGGTTCTAGGTGATTTCCAGGTAATACTTTTCTGCACATTAACATTTGAAAATCACCAATAAAGGTTAAAGTCAAACTATTAAAAGCAAAATTATTTTATTGATCAGGGCCTGAAGAGCTAGTAGAATTTGACTATAGCCTGATCAATGGCATCAATCCATATTACTGAGAAAGAATGTGTAGATGAGGGAAAGTGGACTATCTGTTAAGAGGGGGAACCCTGGTGAATCAGGGTGAGGTGTGGCAGCTCTGCCTGTAGTGCAGTCCAGTGTCCAGGGTGGTGGGAGCTCACTTGGGGGAAGTTTGATCCAGGACAAAGGTGAAATGGCCTCAGAACTGTCCCATTTCCTCTTGCGTCGATTCCATGCTCTGTAAAACTTTCGAATCATTCATCTTTCTAGGTGCCTGGTTAATAAGAAAGGCATTTGAAGGGCTGTTTGCCCTGAAAACAAATATTCTCACTTATCTCTTGGCATCTTGTGAATTTGGCAGGCATTAACCAGTTTTCCATGACCCAGCCAACACTTGGCACTGCTGAGTCTGTTTTCTGGGCTTGTCAGGTTAAACAGTTAACCACTAGGTATAAGCCCTACTACCTTTAGCACAAGTGCCTGAGCTCTAGGGTGCCAATATTACTAATACTAATACATATTAAATAAAGAAATGAAAAGAGATAGTTTTTGCTGAATCAAAACACTACTGTCTTTTCCCTTACAGATTGTTAGAAGATACAGCGACTTTGATTTGCTTAACAACAGCTTACAGGTAAATGTTTTGAAATTCTAATTACACACATTGATTACTTGGGGTATCTAAAAAACTGGTTGGAAATGGCAACACCAGAAACAAGAAATTAGCACATTTCCCTGGCAAAGAAAATAAATTCCTACTTTACACAGATAATGTGTGGCTCTAAAAATAAACTTTTGGGAATCAACATGTGATTCATAATTAATAGTCACCTTGCAAACAAGTACAATGTGCCAGACTTATCCTTTCCAGGCATAGGAAGCTGATGTAATATCTCCTTTTCACAGATAAGGAATGATTACGTGGATTGCTAGCATTGTTCACTTAGATGGCGCTGGGACTCTGACTCTTAGGCTATGTAGTCAGCTCTACAGATCAATATTCAGCAGTAACTGTAGAGACTCAGCCTTTTTCTGTTTAACTTTTTTCTCTTAAACATGTATTTAGAAATCCCTTTAAATGTTCCTAACTTGAGGGCCATAATGGGAAGGAGCATGAGCTGCAAGGTCTTTGTCTAACAAAGAAACACAGCCAGTATTGGTAATGTGGAAGGGTCCAAGAGGGGCTTCAGCACCTTAGGCAGTCCTGGCAATACCAGCCATGTCTTCACCTGGCAGGCTGGTCTTCAAGTGCCTTGGATTACTGAAGACTACTGCACTCGTGTGTGGCATCCCTCAGATTCGATTGGGAACATAAAACTCTTTAAACCTGTGGAAGAGTGCTTGGCTTATGAGGTAAAGGACTCAGCCAGGAGGGAAAGGACTACTCCTGTCATTGGTGAGATAGCCATTATCGCTCATTCTGAGTGACTTCTAATCTTGCACACAAAGGTCAGGAGAACCGTAGACTAGGAGGAAGAATAATACTTCTTTTCCTTCAGAAGGCCACATTTTCTTGATCAGACTTCAGAAAATAAGCACTTTGGAAGGCCGAGGTGAAGCACTCCTCACCTGAGGTCAGGAGTTGGAGACCAGCCCGGCCAACATGGCGAAACCCTATCTCTACTAAAAATGCAGACCTTAGTTGGGTATGGTGATGGTACTCGCCTGTAATCCCAGCTACTCAGGAGGCTGAGGCAGGAGAACTGCTTGAACCTGGGAGGCGGAGGTTGCAGTGAGCTGAGATTGTGTGATGTTGCACACCAGCCTGGGTGACAGAGCGAGACTGTCTCAAAAAAAAAAAAAAAAAGGAAATAAGCATTTGTAGAGCCCAAACTTTAACATTATTTATAACACTGCTGAAAGCATGAATGCCCTATTTTCCTTATGAAGGAAGTGGCCCTAGTACCTGCAGACATTTATGTAATTGCCATACTTGTCATACATTTGACACATACTGTCTTTTTGTATTTTAATTTTAGTATGACCCATTTGAGTCTTCAGATAGAATATTGGCAGAGATCAAATTCTCATCGATGGGTTTAATTGGTTTTATTTGTGGAGTTTAATAGCATTTTCTTTGCACTCAGCCAAGAGCTGGGCCTACAATGACACTGTAGATGAGGCATCAATGTGCAGTTTATTCCAGCAGTGGATTTTCTCCCCAAGCCATCCTATCCCCCATGCAGTGGTCCATGTGACATTTCCACAGTGGTGTAAGCATTTGGGAATCAACACTGGCCTGCTAAGTATGTCTGCCTTTATGCTCAAGTGAACCTTTGCTTGTGTATAAAGGAGTAATGATCTTTAAACAATGTCATTCAGCCAGGCTGAGTAAGAAACTGTGGGAGAAATATTTTTGAAATTGAAATTGCCGGCCGGGTACAGTGGCTCACGCCTGTAATCCCAGTTCTTTGGGAGGCCGACACGGGCGGATCACGAGGTCAAGAGATTGAGACCATCCTGGCCAACATGGTGAAACCCTGTCTCTATTAAAAATACAAAAATTAGCCAGGCATGGTGACGGGCACCTGTAGTCCCAGCTCCTCAGGAGGCTAAGGCAGGAGAATCACTTGAACCTGGGAAGCAGAGGTTGCAGTGAGCCGAGATCACGCCACTGCACTCCAGCTTGGCGACAGAGTAAGACTCTGTCTCAAAAAATAAATAAATAAAATAAACTGAAATTGTCTAGAATTAGCCTCTGAGAATAGAGGGTGGGGACAGAGTTTTATCTCCCATTTGCTTATACTTTGGGCTAATAAGGCTTACTCCCCATGACTCTCCACTTACGGCCTTTTTAACATAGTGAATTTTATTTTTGCTTCAGTGTAATTTTACCTTTTGAAATGAGTACTTTCAGTGTGCATCTTATTCCAAATGCAAATATCCCCATGTATTGATGTTGGCTTGTGTTGGGCAGAATATGGCCAGACATCATTTCAGTGGGAGGTTTTACTGGATTCAAGTAAACAAACAGAAGAAAGTACATACAGCTTTTTGGCAATGAAATAATTTCAAAACAATCTCCATAAAACAGACTGAAAAGACTAAAACCTCAGAATAAAACTGTGACCATGATTTTCAGTGTCCAGTTACCCTTTTGACAGATAAATTACTTCCCCCTGAAGAAAGATAAAATATACATATTCAGAGTTATCTGAGTCCAACAGGAACATGTCGAAGTGAAAAAAAGCAGAACGCAAAATTATACATCCCATATGATATAATTACATGATGTGTTTGGAAAACAGGATTGCAGGTAAACATGCCAATAATGGTGATCCCCAGGTGTCACAATTATAGGTTATGTCTTTTTCTTTCTTTCTTTTTTTTTTAATACTTTCCAAGTTCTCCACAAATAAGCACATGTAGGTTATGTAAGAAGAAAAACAGAAAAAAGCTGCATTTTCCAACGTTTTTTTTTTTTTTTGAGATAGTCTTGTTGTGTCACCCAGACTGGAGTGCAGTGGCATGATCTTGGCTCACTGCAACCTCTGCCTGCCTTAGCCTCCTAAGTAGCTGAGATTACAGGCATGTGCCACCACACCAGCTAATTTTGTATTTTTAGTAGAGACGGGGGTTTCACCATGTTGACCAGGCTGCCAGACTTTTTATAGTGAGCATATTTTGTGAAACAATGAAGAAAAATCACTGCCTTATTTTAAATGCACCGTCAAATTAGCAGCTATCTAGGGAGACACCACATGACGAAGAGAAAGAAGCAGCCTGTTGAAATGTTGGGACCTGGGCAGAGAGAGATGGAACTGTCTCTGTCCCTTAGACTTGAGAAGGAACCAAACATTGCCCCTTGTAGCATTGAGACCTTGAGTCCATCATTTCTTCTCTCTGGTCTCACTTTTGCCGCTCAAATAAACGGGTTGAATTAGACAACTTTTTTATTTTTTTTTGAGACGGAGTCTTACTCTGTCACACAGGCTAGAGCCCAGTGCTGCAGTTTCAGCTCACTACAACCTCTGCCTCCTGGGTTTTAAGCAATTCTCCTGCCGCAGCCTTCTGAGTAGCTGGGATTACAGGCACCCGCCACTGCACCCGGCTAATTTTTGTATTTTTAGTAGAGACTGGGTTTCACCATCTTGGCCAGGCTGGTCTCAAACTCCTGACCTCATGATCCACCCGCCTCGGCCTCCCAAAGTGCTGGGATTACAGGAGTGAGCCACCACGCCTGGCCAAACTAAATGACTTCTAAGGTCTCTTATAGCACAAATATTTTGTAATTAGAGTTTTACTGCCCATTGTTGACCTTGGAGAGACCTGACTGTAATCCGGGGACAGCGGGGGATTGAGACAAATTGAGGGTCTGTTGAGAGCTTAGAACTCCCTAGTCTATTGACTGGAATATGGTTGAAGGCAATTTGCAGATCATTAAGATCTGATGTTGGAAGTAAGAAGCAATGAACAGATTGAGTTTGAAAGTTTTTCCTCCAGATAAAAGCTAGTTTTCTTGAAACTGTGATATAGTTTGTCATATAATTTTGAGCTTTAGATCCCAATTTGAGAATCTTTCACTGCTTTCCATTTTCTTTTTTTTTCTTTGAGACAGACTCTCACTCTGTCACCCAGGCTAGAGTGCAGTGAGTTGAGATTGTGCTCACTGCAACCTCCGCCTCCTGGGTTCAAGCGATTCTCCTGCCTCAGCCTCCTGGATAGCTGGAATTATAGGTGCCCATCATTGAGCTGGGCTAATTTTTTTTTTTTTTTTTTTAATCTTCAGTAGAGACGGAGTTTCACAGTGTTGGCCAGGTTGGTCTTGAACGCCTGACCTCAGGTGATCCGTCCGCCTTGGCCTCCCAAAATGCTGGGATTACAGATGTGAGCCACGGTACCCAGCCTCCCCCTTCCATTTTCATTCTGCAGTTGTACATAGAGCTCTGGAGATTCCTCTGCTGGCTGTCTTGTTCTTTTTTTCTTCTATAAGGAACTCAAGAAGGGAATCCATATGGCATGTTAAAGAGGAAGGTAGTGAAAGAGAGATGATGAGGCATCCTGCCTTGAAGTCATCAGTGTGGAGGTGTCTAGGAAATCAGTGGCTTAGAGACTTCATTATTCTATGCGTAGTATTCTTTTTCCCTCCCTTCTAATTAGCCATTGGAGTTCTAAATTTTATATTCTATACTTGGTAAGCAGTTTAGAAATTCTAGAACGCAGGCCGGGCGCGGTGGCTCAAGCCTGTAATCCCAGCACTTTGGGAGGCCGAGGCGGGTGGATCACGAGGTCAAGAGATCGAGACCATCCTGGTCAACATGGTGAAACCCCGTCTCTACTAAAAATACAAAAACATTAGCTGGGCATGGTGGTGCGTGCCTGTAATCCCAGCTACTCAGGAGGCTGAGGCAGGAGAATTGCCTGAACCCAGGAGGTGGAGGTTGCGGTGAGCCGAGATCGCGCCATTGCACTCCAGCCTGGGTAACATGAGTGAAACTCCGTCTCAAAAAAAAAAAAAAAAAAGAAATTCTAGAACGCAAGAAGAGAAATTAAGTGTCTCTTGAACAATTTTTTTAAGAGGTGGGGTTTTAATATAACTTACAGGTTGCATAGTTTGAGTACCTTTAGGAATACTTTTTTGTGAGATCTTAAACATAGGGCTGGAAATTACCTCTGGTCTGTCTGATATAGCAG